CTGCCCTTCCTGCCCACAAGCCATGTCCCGTATAAGCAATGCTTGTTCTCCAAATATATCATCTAGCTCTGTACAAATGCATCCTCCCTTTCCTTCCCCAGACAGGATGTCTGCTTCCTGCACTCATACATGAAAAGCCTGCATAAGGAACCCAAAAGAACAGTAGAATGTAATAGGCCTGGTTTAGCCAAATAACTAAGGGAGTGAATGATGACACCTTTCACATATGTGTAGGGGTTAACACCATGATGGGACTTAGGCACTCAGATATTATGGTTGGTAATGGGCATATCAGAGGATGGCTTCAGCTATCAGGGTTATTCAGTAGAAGAGTAGGATGAAACTGAGTGAAGTCGAAGTCAAGTTAAATATCACTGCAACATTATAACACTGGACTCACCTCCCAGGGGAAGTGATGGAAGCCCATCTGAAATTAATTGCACAAAGCAGCGAAGGAGACTATAGGAAAGGTCCTGTTCCCTGTGAAGCCTGAATTAGATGTTCTGTGGCAATAGGATGTTAGAGCTACTGATTCTGTGTAATTAGGTGCCAGTATCTTCTTTTCTTAACCTACCTGGAAAGGAACCGTATGTGCCAGATAAGAGATAGGTCTGAGGTATTTTTCATCATATTTATATGTGTGTTTAGTATTTGATCCGTGTTCCTCCTAACCCAGTGGTGACTCAACTGATTTCCTGGCTTGGTGGTAACTACAGAAGACAAGCCACGTGATGGTCCTGTTCCTAACCATACCTTTCTTCTTGTCTTTTGACAGACCCAGCCCTCTTCCCTTTGCATGCTGGACTTGCTACATGTGGCTCGTGATATTGCTTGTGGCTGTCAGTATCTGGAAGAAAACCATTTCATTCACAGGTGAGTAAGACCATTTGCTTTTAGGACCTTTCATTATTGGCCCTTCCAGGAGTGGGTGCATAATGTCACATGTGCATAAGTAATGCTTTCCATCAGTATGTTTATGCCCTATTTCATTCCAGCAATGAGGTGCTTTCAAAGGATGTGACATAAAAGCCCAACTCCTTGAAACTCTTAACAGAGACTCCACTTGTTACAGTAGTTTGCTGCTCTTCTCTCCAAATTATTGCCTTGGGTTTTTTTTCTTCTGTCTTCTCCCCAGACACATGCAGATTAAAGTAGGATTCTTTTCAGATACAGTGCTGTGAATGGTACCATGAGACTGCAGACAGCCTTACACAATCTGAATGATGTTTGAGATGTAGCCAGTTCTGTCCAGAGAATCAGGCAAGGCTGTAGAGACATCAGCCCTGTACCTCTTCTCGCCAGGAGTTGTTTCCATGTAGGCCTCAGAGATCTGGCATGCTCATTAGTATTCTCTCCACCTTTTCCAAAAAGGATTTATTTAAAGGACTCCTCAGCACCAGGATTTCTCTTTCCAAGAGGATTAATTCTAATCTTCCCTGTTACATTTCCAGGGGTGAGCTGTGCCTTTGACCCTTGTTCCTTGTGGGCTGCCCTTCTAAGCAAGAAGGCCCATACCTATGCTTCTGTAAGGGAGGAATCCCTCACTTAACCCCTACTTTTAGACTGGGTCCCCAGGTCACAGCACCCCTGGTCACTAGGCATGAGCCCTCAGCCAGTTCAATTGAGTTTGGCCCCTGCTTCAGACTTTCTTTGGTGACTTCTACCAGTGGGAAAATACAGTAGATCTTTGTCTGTTTTTGCAAGTTGACATTTGTCATGCTTGTGCCTAGATCTACTCATCACCAGAGTTAGGCTGGCAGATGGTACTTTCTGCAATCTCTGCTTCTGTATCAGCTCTTCATTGTATCCTCCCCTGCTCCCAGTGGCAGTCTGGTGTCCACTTAAAGATACCACAGCGTCCCTGGGCAGTCCATTCCGCTAGCTCATTATTTTAACAGTAATGAGAAGCTCATTGTTTTCCTGAGAGGTCTAATCTAAATCTATTTTGCCACAATTTAAAACAACTGTTTCTTTCCGTGCCTTCTCTTCAAGGGAAAACAGTTGTTCTCCCTCTTCTTTGTGGCAACCTTTCAAATATTTGAAAACTGTTGTCATGGCCTCCGTCTTAATCTCTTTTTCACCGAGCTAAACATGCTTAGTGCTCTCAACCTCTCCTCGTACAGCTTCCCTTCAACCCTATATCATTTTTGTTCCTTGCGTCTTGACCCTCTCTTGCTTTTCCATATCTTTCTTAAAATGTGGAGCCCAGTGTAATATTCAAGGTGAGGTCTACCTAACCAGTACCAAGTACAGTAGTACTTGCCTCCCATTGCATATGCCCAGTGCTCCTGCTGATGCAGCCAAAAATACATCCCCTTTCTTGTGATGGCATTACATTGATGACTTATCTCCCATTGATTAGCAAGTACTAGCAATCAGTTAGTCGTCTCTGTGCTCCTCTCTGCTGAATTAACACTAAATATTTTATAGAGCAAACCACACCATCCTTGTTGTTAATCATGTTTATTATGACAGTGCTAGGCAAGCTAGGAACAAGGCCCCATCATGGAAGGTGCTGCTCATGGGCAACGTGACCCATCCCCAAGAACTTACAATCAAAACAGACAAGACAGGCAGAGCACACAGTATGATGGCAGCAAGCTTCATATTAAGTCCATGATTTGGAGGAGAAAGAGAAAGATTTACTTAGGGAGGGATCACATAATGGAAAGGAGAGGAAAAGGAGACACTGAAAGGAAGAAGCTGAGGACAGGGAAGAAGTAGATAAGAGGAGCAGGTGTGGAGTCAGAGCTGAGGTAAAGAAAATGAAGGAAGGGGATGGTGCAAGCAACCAGCCAGCTGGCACAGGGCAGAGGAAGCTCCGTCAAAGCCACAGGAAGTTCTCCAGTGCAAGTTCTCGGTGCTTCTTTAGCAACCAGTGGGAGTCTTTTTCCTCTGTAGTCTTCCCAGTTCCTTCCCTGCCATTTGCCCTGAGGCGCGCATACAGCTGTCACTGCCACAGAGCCAGTGCTTTAGACCCCAGCAAAGCTGTTTGCGGCCTCCCAGCTACCTGCCACAGTTGGCACAGGCTGTGGGCAGCTGCTGCCTGCCACAGAGCCCAGGCTGGTTGCAGCAGGGCTTGCAGCCTCCTGGCTGCCCGCTGTGAGTAGCCCGGGCTCCATGGCTGGCAGCAGCTGCCCAGAGCCCAGGCTGGATGTGGCATGCTGAGCAAAATGGCCTTGCATGCCATGCTGTGGGATGCATATCAGGGATTGCCGACCCCTGTGCTACCTCTTTTCTAGCACTTCCCAAAGCAGGGTAGGTCTCCCCTGTGCGGTTCCAGGCCCTCTGGGGATCCACGTGGGGGTGGTGGCCAGGCTGGGCTCCATTTTCATAGACATAGATTTCATTGACATTAGGGCTGGAAGGGACCTTGAAGATCATCAAGTCCAGGCCCCTGCCCCAGGGGCAGGAAGTCAGCAGGGGTCACAGGATCCCAGCAAGATAAACATCCAAATGTTTCTTGAATGAGTCCAGAGTAGGCGCCTGCACCACTTCTGGAGGAGTCCAGACCAGGCCTTGGGGGCTTGGACAGTAAAGAAGTTTTTCCTTATGTCCAGCCTAAAATGGTCATGGAAGAATTTATGACCGTTGGTCCTTGTTATCCCATGGGGCGCTCTGGTGAACAGATGTTCCCCCAAATCCTGATGCACACCCCTTATGTACTTATAGACAGTCACCAGGTCCCTCCTGAGTCTGCGCTTTTCCAGGCTGAAGAGTCCCATGGCTCTCAGCCTCTCTTCATAAGGCCTGTTCTCTTGCCTTCTGATCATGCACGTGGCCCTCCTCTGGACTCTCTCAAGCTTCTTCACATCCTTCTTGAATTGTGGCACCCAGAATTGGAATTGGATGCAGTACTCCATTTTAACCTCTTCCCCCATAATGTACAAACACATGGTTACAAATTGTATTCAGAGAAGTAGTTACAGGTATCTGTCACATTCTTTACACCTTCCTAGCTCCTTTTGTATATGAGGAGAAATTCTGGTTTAGGGAGGCAGTTAGATAGTACCGAATATAGTTAGGTAGTATCTAGCATGTTTCAGCATAGGTGTTATCTACACCTGTGGTCTATCCAGCTACAAGGACAGAGGCATTATGGGACACAGAGATGATCCTGATCTTCCTTTATCTGCACTTTATCTTTCACCACTCTATGTACATGGGAATGCTTGTGGCAACCATAGCATCACTGGAAAAGTCCAGCTGTCACATGGAGCAGAACTGCTTGGCACTGCAAGAGCACCATGAACTTGCCATTTTTTTTAGTTCACTCTTCTGAGGTCAGTTTACCAGGCTTACTTATTCTGACAGACATGAGACTAAGTCACATTGCTGCAACCACCCCTGAGTCCAGGAGAGTCAGGGGAGGATAGTTCAGCCCATTAGAAAAGGGAAGACATAGATGCAAGCTTTGGTTCAGGTGCACATCTACCTTCTGAAAGGCAGATTTGAGCATTCTCCACAGAGTAAGAGCTGCTCTATTTGCCTGTGACATGTACAACAAAGACATATTAGGCCCAGAGGCAGGAGCTCATGACCTAAGGCAGCAGGTAGTTGGAAGAGATTAATTGTCCAAGTCAAATCTTTTGTTTCCAACTTTCTACAGTTTTGACAGCTCTAATGAGGAAGGGGTGTTTGCAGATAGCCCATTGTTGTGGTGAGGAAATCATCTGCACAGATGAAAGGTCTTAAAGAATGATTACAGACAGCAATATGCAACTACCTGAAGAGTTTCTATTAAAAAAGAAAATAAATAAACTGGGGTTTGTTATTCACCCGTCTTGACTACTCTGGGGTTTGTGGGTTCTCACACCTCTGCCAGCAAATTAGGCCAACTTTATTCTTGTGATGTCCTTTGGTTTTGCAAAATAGCTGAAAGGTTAAATGATTATCTTTTCTTTCTCCCCTTTCCTTTTCTTTTTCTCCCTCTGTGTTGCAGGGATATTGCTGCCAGGAACTGTCTCCTTACTTGCCAAGGGGCTGGGAGAGTAGCTAAAATTGGAGACTTTGGAATGGCCCGAGACATATACAGGTAACAGAACCGAGTCCAGCGTGCTATGAGACACAAACTTACTGGAGTGGGGGAGGTATTTTGCCTGGTAAAGCATCATCGCGTGCTGTAGTCCATGTAAAAGAAATACTGCAGGAATGATTTCCCTATGGCCCCGATGCTGTGTTTAGAATTTGCTTCTAGGTGCTGATTTGACAGTGCTTTGAAGGCTACTCCCTGGTCCTCTCCCTTCTCTTGCAGTCTGTCCCTAAGTTCTTCCCTTTGCTTTCTGACCATGAAGTGGTGTAAACCATGAATGTGCCCTTTTGTTCTATGACCCCAAATCATGCTGAGTTTAATCTCCTTCCTCCTTGGCACTCACCCTGTGTCTTTCATTTTGTGTCCCAAGTCTTTTCAATGTACTGCATATAAAAGAGGTGGGGGAAGGGTCAGGAGAATGTAATTACACAAACTGGAATTTAGCCAAGCCACTAGAATAAATGACTTGCAAGAAGGGTCAGGAAATCTTTAATGACCACAAATGGTCAGGGCCTCAGGTAGACAGCTCATCTGCAAGGCAGGCCTTTCAGCAGCACAGCGCCTCCTACCATTTGGCTGCAGAATAGGCTCCATTATGACTCCCAAAGCCCAAATGCCACGTACTGGCTCAGCAGCGCAAGTTCTTGCAGAGCGTTGGGGCTGTCCTGTGGAAGTGCCGAGGCGGCCCAGCTCTGCTTAGCTTGAGAGCTGATAGGGCAGCAGTCTGTGCCTGCCACTGTCAGAGCTTAGATATTGATGGGCTTCACCTTCAGTTGACAAAGGGATCATTACTTACCGTTGATGTCCCTGTCACCATAATGTCTGGGCACCTTTCTTTTCAACCAACTGCAACAGCAAGGACCTGTTCATTCCTCTCCTCTGGAGCATTTTGTTGCTAATTGGTCAGTCGAGTGGATTTGTTTATTGCAGGCTTTTATCGGTTTTGAGGGGATGTAAGTCAGTGGGACTGTCCTTATGGGTAAGGTTTACCTATGCACAGAGTGAGGAAAGCATGCAGCCTGTAGCATCTGTGTCTATGAATATAGAAAGATCTCTTCTGCATCATCCCTGCCATGCTGCTTGTCTTTAAGAAAAGCCCCCATTTAAGCCCATTACCAAATGAGCCAAGCCCCAGGCTGCTAACTATAATCCTTTGATTGGAAAAGTACTACATTAAGGCCATTTTCATTCTGAATCCTTGGCTGACTGTCCGCTTTTATCTTTCCTCTGCAGGGCCAGCTATTATCGAAAGGGAGGCTGTGCAATGCTGCCAGTCAAGTGGATGCCGCCAGAGGCCTTTATGGAAGGAGTATTTACATCAAAAACAGACACATGGTGGGCCTTTTTCTTCTTAGCTGTTGTACCAATTATTCGCTATCCATTTGCAAATCGAAGGCGTTCTCTTTGGAGGGGTGCAGTGGGTGTGGTTAAAATGCCATATCGGTTATTAACTGAAAGGAAGGTGCCAGGTCTCTACTCATGAAAGGAGGCTGATATCAGTCAGAGCCAGGCACCTTTCAGCAGAAGGACCTGTACTTCTGGTACCAGCAGAATGATTGTACATTGTTGGGTAAGCAACGACTTTCCTCATGCCAGAGGAGAGAGAAGGAAATGGGGCTGGCTTGCAAACCAGAGTCAGCAAGGGGCTGGGAAGGGTTTGACCAAAAGTGCAAAGTCTTAAGCAGTCACTGAAGCTGTTTGTGTCGCACCCTGTATTTACCCTGGCTGAAAGCCACCTGTGTCAGGGAGTGAGAAGCCACTGTTGAAAAAGCTGGACTTCTGAGGGATGGGAAAGAGATGCTTAAGCAAATGTGATTCAGGAAGCCAGGAGTGCAAGACAGTGTGATTGGGAGGGAGGAGGAGATTGTGAAGCTATCAGTATTGACAAACACCAGCTCCATTCCTGGAGTTTGGAGTAAGCAAGAGCCCATTTCCCAGCTGATGGGTCACGCTGAGTCCTAAGAATGCAGCAGGATTATTTGCTGTCAGTGCCAGAGGGCTGAGTCTGGACTGCTGTATTCTGTTCCCAATCACACAGCAGCTGCAACTTTCAAACAGCTGTCATTTTCCAAGCCACCAGCCAGATTACTGCCTCAGAGGGTCCTGCCAAGGCCACTCCACACTCCAGATGAAGAATTATGATGTAATCAGGGGAACGGTCTTATTCCAGTTTCCTGCAATATTTAGGATCCAGACCCAGCAAGGGGCTCACTCATGTCATCCTTACAAAAACATAATGAGCCACTGTTTATTTAGGACTTCAGGGATTCTTATAAAGGGCTTGAGGTACTGGGTCTACTAAGACCACTTGCCTACCTCCAACAGTGGCTGATACTTGAGAGCTCAAAGGTACACAATTCCTCCCTGCGCTGTTCAACTGGATACGAGGGAGGAGTGATTATTACTTCCTGCAGTGATTACTTGACTACTCATCAGCTGACCTGCAGTCAGAAGCATCAGATTTAATTACCTTTATCACAGTCCTGGCTTACTTAACAATCAATGTCATAGATATTCATAAAATAACCTATTTTTTCCTTTTAACCTAGCTACTTTTTCCAGTATTCTTCAGCATTGAATTCCAGAGGTTGACTGATTGTGGGTTGCACAAAGCAATACTGATTTTACTGAATTTAAGTTCATAGCCCTCTAATTACATTAATTTTTGCACGTAGCCTTATCCTTCTGTCTTTTCATTCTGTATCCAGGTCTTTTGGGGTATTGCTGTGGGAAATATTCTCTCTTGGATACATGCCCTATCCTAGCAAAAGTAACCAGGAGGTACTTGAGTTCGTAACAAATGGAGGAAGAATGGATCCACCCAAAAATTGCCCTGGCCCTGTGTACGAGACTTTAAGAAATACAATAAGTATAATTCATTCTGTGTTTTGAATTCTTTGCTGTGGTCAGAAAATTATTGACTCTATTATCATGTAGTTACTGAGTATCCTAATGAACCTTTTCTTTGTGAAATCAAGTGTAAGACTTTTTCTTTTCAGTTGTCAGTCAGTGCCCTTTGGGAGTACTTAGTATGGGTCATGAGTTAAGTTAGGTCAGTATTTTATCCTTCAGATTTGGTGTAAAGCAGAAACTCCAAGCCACTTATCTCTATCAAAGATGCCTTGTGGGCTTTTTTAGAAGGCAACTTTTGCGCTGATTATTATATCGAAGCATGCCTGCAGAGACTCCCTGTGTAGTTTCAGATGGATAGGTTATTTTGTTGCTGGATTCCACCCTCACTGTGGAGTGAGTACCATTGCAGTGGTACCTCTATAGTATGGCCTGCCTTTCACGTGCACTTAGGCACCTGAAAATTCACTGGAAATCAGAGGGAGCTGTAGGTCCTTGGTGCCTTTGAAAATCAGTCCAATAGACTGTCTTTGAGAGACTTTGAAGCAAAAGGTAGCAGGCAGTATAAGCCTGCTATTATTATCGTTAGAATTGCACTGTACAGTTTAGTTTCCCAAGGTAACACTTCCCTTACCAGCTCCCAAAGGACAGTGTATGCTGGCAGGGCAGCCTGCCAGGGCAGCCTGCCTCCATCTGAACAGCCTGTCTGATGATCAATGAGGATGGCAGGGTGGGATCATCCTTGTTCAGATTGAACATACAACTGATGCATTGGAGAACAAAAGGTCTGGGCAAGGTATTTGTTGCCCGTTCTTCCTGGCTAGAAGACCCCTTTGCACAACGGGGGTTTTCCTCAGTCGCAAACACAGTGTTCAGAATGGGTGAGAAGGGAGGCAGGAATTAGATGGAAATAGCTACAGCCTTAGATTGACCCCCTAATCCACCTAAGGGAAGATTTTTTTTGTTTTTCATCAGTTGTGTGAATCTTCATGGCATGTCTCCAACAGCAGCACATACAGACATATCTGGCTTTTTACCTACATTGGTATCTGCACGTAGACAGCGGGGTGGGTACAGGGCTTCTCACCTGAACCTGCATGGGAATGGATTTCTAATTGGCCACTGCAGCATACTGAATACTTGGTTGGCTGGTGTGCCCTGATCGTCTCTGGGTTGCAGTGAAGTGATGGTCTTTATTGACCAAAGTAATCTGCCTTTTTCCTTCCTGCCACTCCTCATCTTCTGTCTGGCTATTCTTATAGGTATCGTATAATGACCCAGTGCTGGCAGCACCAGCCTGAAGACCGACCAAATTTTGCCATAATATTGGAGAGGATTGAATACTGCACTCAGGTATCAGTGTTCATTTCTTCCTTCATTTGATAAAAGGCAGAAAGGGGAAGAGGAACCTCCCTCCAAAGACACAGTCTGAGCAAACCAGAGTGCAGGGCACTTAGAAGGTAGCACTGCACTAGGCTGCAAAGATGTGCATTGTGTTAGACTGAAATCAGTGTCGAGCAGTAAACCGGGAGGTACTGGATCCTGCCTGCCCTTCAAATACATATGTCTGCATCTCCCTGGCCAAAGAGGGAGGGGTTCTCACTGACTATACACATGCCCTGCCACAGGCCAAGAGGAGTAGCAGCTCTGTGACTGCTGCTTCTGCTTAAAGGTAGAGTTTTCCAGGAGGCCAGAGGCCTGAATCAATCCATCAGATGTTTTCTTGCACTTGTGTTCTTTGTTTCTCTGACTGTGTTGCACAGGCATAGCCAGATAACAGCCTCTCTTCACAGTCTAGCAAGTACTGACCTGAGATGGTCCCCACCCAGAATGCCAGTTTTAGCAGACCCCCTTAACCTCTGGGGATTTTGTCTCTAGATTCAGCTGAATTTCCTTATCTCAGGCATTTGATGCCATTAGGACCAGCCAGCTTTGGACTATTGCAGCTGGGGTGCTAGTCAGGTGGAGGAGGGAGAGATTGGGTGAACTCTCCAGGACTGCGTCTTCTTTACCATCCTGTGTAGGACACAACTGATTAGCCCAACTGGCCCAGTTGAGACTTAGCATGGTGTAGCAAATGAATCAGCTAGGGGATTATTCCATTGCCAGCTTGGATACAGACTGGCTGAGAGGCCTTGTTCACCCCATTTTCCTTCTCCAGGCTTCATTTCCCCCATCTGTAAATTAGGGATGATTAACAGGCTTAACCTCTTCATATTTCAGATGCATTTTTAGTTCTTAGGGTAGGAGGTGTTAAATCCAAAATGTCCAGCATTGCCCATCAACAGTCAACAGTCGACCAGTTTCTAGCCATGAGACAGCTCTCTGTGGAACGTTTGCAAAAGCACCCAAAAGGCTTGGGGGACCTAGACCCTTTGAGGCCCCTCAGGTCCAAAGTAACTGAGGTGCTTCTTCAAGTGTTGCCCTGTATAACCCCTGACCTCACCTTCTCCTGCACCGCCATGTTCCTGTGTTTCCATAGCTGTGACTCATTCAGCAGTACCAAAGAGTGCTATGAGCTTTGGAATCTATATTTGATCCCAATGTTTGATCTATAAGAGTGTTTTGTTTTGGAATCTATATTTCATCCCAATGTTCTCCTTCCAGTTCCAGCTTGACACCAAAATTCTTCCTCGCTTTTGCCCTAAACTATTGTATAATATAACTGTCATGTTCCACTCCAGAACTAGCTGTATTTCATAGATGCCCCTTGTATAAAAAGTTTGGAGTCTGGAGAGGCACCCCATCCTGCATGACTGCAGGATGATAGCAATGCTCGAACATCGGTAGTGGTACCAGTTTGATTGTTCTCTCTTGCAGGACCCTGATGTCATCAACACTGCTTTGCCTGTGGAATATGGCCCATGCATAGAGGAGGAGGAAAAAGTCCCAATGCGCCCAGAAGACCCTGAAGGAATCCCTCCTCTGCTGGTCTCCCCACGCCAAGAAAGGAAGGATGACAAGCAGGCCCTGCCTTCTCCACCCCCTCTGCCCACCACTGTTGCTCCTGGAAAGCCATTGCTGAAGGTGGCAGCCTCTGAGCCACCCATCCCTGCTAAAGTATGCCCAGGCCTGGAAGGGGGCCATATCAGCATGGCCTATACACAGTCCAACCCAGCTTCTGAGCTTCACAAAGGCAGAGGGTCCCGAAACAAGCCCACCAACCTCTGGAATCCAACCTATGGCTCCTGGTTTGCAGGGAAGACGGGCATCAAAAATAATTCCTTGCTGGAAAAAGAGGTGTCTGAGAGGGAGAATTTGGGGCATGAAGGAAACTGTACAGTGGGGCCCAGTGTGGTGACTGGCAGGCTACCAGGCTCCTCCCTGCTCTTAGAACCATCCTCACTAACAGCTAGTATTAAGGAAGTGCCTCTCTTTAGGCTCCGCCACTTCCCCTGTGGCAATGTCAACTATGGATACCAACAGCAGGACTTGCCCTTGGAGGCATCAGCACCGCCTTGTGCTAGCAACTACGAGGACTCTGTCCTTAGAAACAAGGGTCATGTAGCCCATCAAGGGCCTTGAGAGCACCCCAGAGCTCTTGACTTTCATCCCACATGGCCTGTGAGCCTTGAAGAGGTTATCCGTGTTACCCACACACTGCAAGCAAAAGAGCAGACAGTGTTACTTCCCATATTGTGCCAACTGGCTCTAAAGTGCCACCTTTGGAAGCCGTGTTTTCCAATAAACCAAGGGGCTTCAAATCACAAGAGCCCAAGCTACAAAAAAAACCAAGGAGAGCGGATAATAAATGTTCACTGCAAGGCCCAGCTTTCAGTTGCATCAACTCATTCGCATGATTGTTGTCGTGCCCTTTCCTGTGAGCTTCTTCTCAATTGTGTGTGCTCTGCTTAAATGTAAAGTCATGACTCGCTGCTTGAGTGTTTCATGTTTGGAGCTTTGCTTGCCAGACTGGTAATTGCTATGGAATGGGACGTTTGGAAATCTCCTCCAGATGGCAGAGATGCGAGGAGGGCTGGGACAAGCGTCACTCATTTGAAACAAATTGGACAAAGCAACTCTGGATGGGAACACAACAGTACGTTCCCAAGTTGCATTACAGCTAGAGCACAGTCTTCAAAAGTCCCTGAATATGCAGTATTTGCAGTATCACTGGCAAGGCAGAGGAAAGTTGCCAGCCTTACTGGATGGTTTGTTTGTAAGGGAGGTGGGAAGCTAGCTTAATTATAAGGGAAAGGGATGAAATGCAAAAAAAAAAGTTGGCAATTTTTTTTTCTAGAACCCAAAACTTATAAGGTACTGGCCATTTAAAATTCCTTCCATCCAAAAAAACCAGAGCACCTCTTTCTACAAGAATTTGTTGTTCAGTGGAATTTGAATGGGTCAGGCTTAGTTGAGAGAGATGTGTAACAAGGCCTGACAATGAGAAGTCACCAGTACTGCTCAAAGGTTTAAAATACCCTAAACTAAAATAAAGGCCGAAGATAGGATGTTGTGTCCCAATCTGGATTCCAGATACCATTTGTATTCCAAGGGGTTACAACTCTTGTTTCCATAACACAGTATTTGTATGATAATTTAAAACACAAAGCTCCACTGATCCATTTTGAACACCTTGTGCATGAAATATATCCCAGTAAGTGTATTGTCAAATATAGGCATAGGAAATGAATTCATGTGTAAAGATGTGCATTAATAATTTACAGTGTACTCACAAGGGGCTGTTTATGCAGCAGTGCTGTCTAAAAAATAAGTGGCTGTCTATTTCCATAGAAGTGGGTCTATTGAGCAGCAGCAAACAACAGGGAAGATGTGGGACTGGTTTCCTGATCTATCACCATAAAGGAGCAGTTCAAATTTTGGTTCTGGATCCAGGCAGTGAGGTGAGTCCCCTTTCTTCAAAAATGAAACAAGCCAGAACATCCAGTTTGGTTTTGGGGCCTCAAAAATTAAGAACCGTATTTGATAAGGATGGTCTAGGCCATCGTCGCTGAACTAGAAGTAGGATTAAACTCTCCTCCACCAATGTCCTCTTCCTCCCCTCCTGGTGGAATATGGCACTAAAAGTTTGTGGAAATTGATGTTGAAATTATGCCACATCTTTTTAAAATGAGATTTATACTCTATGTTGAGCAGGTTTATACTATACAATATAATAATTTGGTGGTTGCTTAGGTCTTCTTGATCACCTGTTGCTGGTATGGTGTATATATCACAGCTGTACAGATTTCATGGATGTAACGAGGCCTAGACCTCACATCCTCTTTTACTTGAGCTGAAAGGATAATCTACAAGCTGTGCCAGTGTTACAGCTTACAGTCCTTTTCATGGACCAGCCACTAGCAAGTGATTCACTTGCAGACACTAAAACATTCCCACTAGCCTAGGACTAACAGATCCTAGGATCCTACAGACAACATCCACAGGGCCTGCTCCCTCTTCAGATTCCCCAGATATTGAGTTTTCCTATTACTTTTGGTAACAGGAACATTTTGAAAAAAGCCTCTAGGCTATGAGTAGGGGTCTACTTAACTTGCCACAAGATAAAATAATTTTCACAGCTTGGTTGCAGCACAAAGAACCAATTTCACGGGTATTTCCCAGCAGCCCCACCCCTCATTGCTGATTGGTGGAGGGGTATTGGCACTGCATTTAATTTTGTAAAAGGTGGTGCTGAAATCTTTTCACTTCACTGACTGGCACCTTCACATAGTCTACGTCATGAGCAGACAGTATCTCTCAATCACGTGATCTATGGCTGCCGTGATTGTCACATTGTTTTTGTATTGCAGTAAGCATGGGACATTTTAAAACAGTACATTATATGAATAATAAGCTATGGGGGGCGGGGGGATTAGGTTGATTTTGCAGGAAAAAACAGCCAATGCGATATTTCCTAGCCATCTTTCCACGAAAACTGCAAGACCCCTAGCTATGAGCAAAGGAAGATATGCAAGTCACAGCATCAATTTCCTCCCCATTCATGACAATAGCAGGGATGTAGACTAATTTCTGTACTCTTATTTGTGGTGTGTGTGTTTGTGTATCTCTGTGTGTATATACAAGTTCAGTTAGGTGTGCCATGCTCACAAGGAAAACAGAAAGAGATGGATGACTTAAAAGCTTTTATTACCATGTTTTAAATGATTAGCATGTCCTGCTGAGTTGAAATTGGTGGACTCAAATTCACATTCTCAGAAGGTATTTTTGTCTACTCGGTTTTAAAAATAAATATATATTTCTAGGATTTTTTTTCCATGAAAACTTCCACAGTGGGGAAGAGTACATCCAAAACCTTTGGGTGGTTGTTTTTTTAAAGAAATGTTCTCAGCACTCTTGTGTATGAAGCGCTTTGGGCTTAGGAAGAGGTGTTCAGATCTGGAAAGAACTGGTTTGTTGAAGAGCTAGGTCTAGAATTGTGGCTGAATGGCATTGAGCAAGCTGTTCTTGAGTAACATCAGCCCAAACAGTAGATTCAAGCCTTCTCATGTAAATTCTGCCACCTTGCAGTGCTTCAGACGCATTCAAACTGTAACCAAGTAAGTGCTTTTTGGTTTTGGATCCAGTGCAGAAATGGAACCAGGAGGAAGTCTGAATGTAGATTCAAACCCACTCTTCAACTCCTCCGGAGGCATCTATACACATGCTCCAGGGTGATGGGGAAGGAGCTCCAAGAGCTGCTCTAATTAAAGCGCCCACAGCACCATGCGTATTCAGCATCCTGCACTTCAAAACAGTGGCGGGGCGCTTGAACTAAAGCTCATTTGACGAGCTTTAGTTCAAGAGCCCCTACTGCCATTTTGAAGCTTAGGGATGCTGAATAGATGCGATTGCTTGAGCACATTAATTAGCACGCACCAGCAGACTCCGTTAATCAGAGCAGATGTGCAGCACATGCATAGGTGCCCCTGGAGTTCAGAGAATCTACTTTGGGCTTATTCCTAGTACAACAGATCTCAGCCACAGACTAATTGTTCCACCACCAGTGATCCCTACACCACCCTGAAGCCCAGCATCGTAGGCACTCGCAATCATCTCCGAGCCCTCGCTTAGAACTTTCAGATCCATATTCTTCCCCCTACTCCATATCTGTAGCCCCAAAAGACAGCTGACTACTTGCTCTCAAGACTATTACTTACGTAAGCTTGTCCCCTATGGATGACATAGGTGCAGTTATAAGACAAGTAGATCCATGGGACAGAAAGGAAGGTTTCTGTGGCTGCTGTCAGTTTGCTCTAGGAATAAAATAGCACTTAACACTCCAGTATTGCTCATTACCTAGTCATTTCAAATTTTAAACAATAGTAGCCTTGTCCAAAGGGTTGAAAGAAGCTGTAGTAATAACCCTGCTACACTTGATGTAACAGACTGAAGGCTTCAATCATCACTGCCATGGTTCATAGAATGAGCTGCAGGAATCATTGCAGATAAGGAATAAAAAATAAGAGATGCAGTGAGACATGAATATGAAGTTCTTGCCTGAAGACAGGCCAAGCTATGGGGCAGAGCAGGAAAGGAAACAAAACAGCTGCTTGTATTTGAAGGCTTGTCTCTTTCAAGTGAAAGCACAAGAGCTGGTCTGCATTAAGCAGATCGGCAGCAGGGTAAGGCACCACCCCCTAGTGCTTTTGTTTTGCGACTGTCTTGTGCTGATTGTCAGTGAAAGGTCCTTAAAAGGTGCCTTTTCTGGTTATTATTGTTTCCCTTAGTGGAGCAGAAGAGATTCAAGATTCATAAACCTAGTTCTGCTATTATTGTAATTCCACTGAACACAATGAAGTTATTTTATAGTTAAACCAGAATCTAAAACAGATTTTTGTCCCAGTAATGAAACAAGCCCGTTGTGGGTGGGGGGGAGGTTGGGGTTTTTTTGTTTTGTTTTTGGCAGGGGGTGGTATTTGATAGGGAAAAAAGGGTACAAACTGATATCGGCTGATTAAAAACCAAAAAATTCTTGCATTGCGTTTAGATTGTACGGTGAATAATATTTCTGCAGTGGGTGGTGGAATGGTGCATTGTCTGGGTTGACTATGCCATGGGCCTAGTTAGGCCAACCCATTATAAATGTCTTCCTTTAGCTACATGTAGCTATTTCCTTGCTACAGCATGAAATATAATCAGAACCATAGCCTGCAGTATGACAAGAGTGCATAGAAAACCCTGACTACTGAACACGGCCAGGTCCATGAGTAGCAGCTATGAAGTAGCTGTTTCCCTATAGCCTAGGTAGGGCCTAATAGTTGCTGTGCTTGTGATGGCTTTTGCTGCTGGGAGCAGGGTAAGATAGGACAATTCCTGATTTGTCTTCTCCACTGCCACAAACATCCTTTCTTCCAGTGGACTTTGGTTTCTCCTCACGTGCCTGATCACTCAGGTTAAGGTAGTAGCAAGATGAAGTTATAGGGAGCTTGGAAGAGGCTCTCGCAGAGAGGAGGAAGAGGCAGTCACCTTTGATCGTGGAAGCAACGAGGGTGGTGTTGCACTCCCTGGAGAAGCTGTGGGAGTGAAGTCAGTTTATCTGAGGTCCTTGTGTCAGGGTATTCAAGAATATAGTCATTAAAAAATGGTGTGTATCATTAACCCACTGCAGTCAATGCTAGGCAGCCTAATGTAATATCACAGGCTTTCCCTTCCCTCCCCACCCCTGTGTGTCTGCTAAAGGTGATTCAATGTGAGAGTAGCCTCAGCAATGGTCTCATTTTTGCAATGCATGGCAAGGCTAGCCTGTTGAATGCCATGATGTGTTTAATTTTGCAAGGCTGCCCCTATAGCTAAGCGCACCATCTTGGTGACAAGAACTCAGAGAAGAGAATGGCATAAAATATCCTTTCACCACTGCTAAGACATCACATATTATTGCCTGCCCCAAACTTACACCGTTCAACAAGAAGTGGCCAAATTGTCTGCATCTGGCTTCTTCATTTTGTAACAGCCTCACTAGGTATGTCTCTCATCTGTACAGTAGCTTATGCAAGACTGTTTGTAAAAGGGGAAGGGCCTATGCACTTCAGGGATATGATCAAAGGTAAATACTAATATATGGTCATTGAGTATTTTGTATCAAATAGTGTATTTGTATTGTAAACAAGTGTAGTGAACCCAAAGGCATGAAGACAAATAAAATGACTATAAGTGGCTTGTGTGGTGCGACTGTGTCTTTCGAAACATCTACACTAATCTCAGCATCAATTTTTTTGTAAAACACTGACTGGCTC